ATAATTATAAAAACGTTTTCGTTCTTTTTTGGTTTAAAAACTGCAAAATGTGGTTAACGCAAAGTGAAAAAAAGCATTTGGTTAATTACCGGTGCTGGCAGGGCAATTGTTAGAACCCCTGCGAGAGCACACATGGAACCTATAATTCGACCGAGGTATGTATGAGGAGTCATATCGCCGTAGCCTATTGTTGTCATTGTCACCACCTAAGAATACGTTAAAAAAAAGGAATGTTTTTATATGAAGAGAATAAAGCAATAACGTTATGCTATCTTTAATTTAATTAACTGACTGGCAAACTGCAAAAAAATTTTCTCTTGCAAATGATATTGATCAGTTTTACATAAATGTTGCAGCGTTTAAATTTGATAATTATTCTTTATATCTAAAAAGATGATTGATATATGCAATTTATGCATATCCATTAACAGCATAGAAGACTTCAAGGAAGCAAATTTTCATAATCATGAGGCTAAAGCTTACAAATGAGATATAAGGAAAAACAGAAGAGAAAAAATAAAAACAAACATAGGCAAGAAAAGTGCTAAATTATAACTTACAGCCCACCATAACCCGAGAGGAATGCTTTGAAACTGATTATCTGGATTGGTCTCAAATCTTTCAGCGTAATAAACTAACGAGGCAAATATCACAATAGCAAGGAACAAGAAAAAAACCAACAACAGGAGCTCTTTGAAACTGGCTCTAAAAATTGAAGTTTTCAATTGATGTTAAATAAAAACTTATTAAAAACGGTTTAGTAACGCTACAAATCGCGTTCGTTACTGTCGTTTACGAACATATACAATTTAGAAGGTATGAATAGCGTCACACGCAAATTTTCGTGCCATAACAATTTGCACTTTCTTCTGTTTTTATGACAATTGCATAAGCGCTTTAAATTGGCAAAGTTTGTTTACTTACCTGAAAGTATGCATCAAAACTTTAAGGCCACTAGAATGTTGAGTTAATTTAAACAGACGCAATATACGAATAATAGGGAAAAATTCAAGCTCTGCTCGAGTTCCAAAATTTGTCATTAAAAGATCTGCATAAAATGTTAGCGTGGCCACGAGATCAATAATATTTACCTAAAAATTGGTTTTATTTCTAGATTAAACAAAAAAAAATGACTGGCATCCCTGTGTTTCTTGCTGATGAAAAAAAGTCCATCACTCTACTGATTTCACTATTATATGTGGCATTTGTAAAAAAAAAGTCTTGTTGCAGTTGCAGTTAGCTTATCGTTTACAATCAACAGTCGCTCACCGGTGCTTTGATAAACTCGAGTTTTTTTGGACATGTGAAGAATCGCACTAGCATTTCAATGGTAAACCATATGTTACATACTGTTTCAACTGCCTAAAAATATGCAGTGGTGATTTTCTTCAAAGAAAAAGGTAATGTATCACAAGTTGCTAGTTCAAATTAACACTTTAAAAAGTCAAAATAAATGATATTTGAAGCCTAATGTGTACTAATATTGCTGACCATAAATCCGGGGTGAGGTTTGGAGTTTAGATCATTAAGATCGATAACTTCAGTGCGATATTTGGGGTTAGGACTTCGAGCATGTCGGGTAGTCTTATTGGAATTTACGTGGTACGGTATCCTCAAGCCTGGACTAGTTTTGAGACAAAATACAGTGATAGCAACAACAAGAAAAAATACTGATACTACGGCGATCACCTGAAAATCATTCATTCATTTTATATTTGAACGATTTGCCCAAGTACAGACTACCTAGAATCGACAAGCGTTATTGCCGGGTTTTCTAACGTGATCATTTTTCACCAAAAAATTGCGATTAAAAGACGTAGATGACCATTTCTGAATAACAAATAAAACAGAAAAACTTGACCTGCGCAGCAACTGACGATGTTGGTTCATCAAACAATCTCCACAGTTTCGGTTTTAATTTCTGCCAGGCAGACAATGAATTGTTGTAATAATCATCCTCCCAACCAAACCTTAAAATTTATTCTGTGTTATCGATGCTTGGTACTATTGTTATAGAATCATATGTATCTGTAGCAAAAAATTGTATATTTTGGTTTGTTTTTAAGTATGTATACAACGTACCTTTTATAAATTTCTTCGGGATTGTTTTTTCTTTCCTCATCAATTTTGATATCAAGTTTGTCGAGCGTAGAAAGTACTTCTTGTGTGTCTCGATGCTGCGTATAGGTCATCCAACAGCAGGGTTCTACCTCGTTAGCATCCAAACCCCAATACTGTAAAAAAGTTTCATTTCTACCAACAACTAATTTTTTTTTGTTACAGTCTAGTTTGCTAAGCTAATATTATGTCACTATTTTTATAGTTTTTTGAACTACAAAAACAAATATTCAACTAAAGACGCTCAATAAAAGTAAGTTTATTTTCAGAAGTAAAGATACAGAATTAGTTCATTGCTATTACTACAAATAATTCATGCGGCATTAAGCCTCATTTTACTGCTAAGCAGTATGCCAATAAAAAAACCTTTAGTTCTTCTTCGAACAGTGGACCGCAAACATCTAACGGATAGTGTAGTTTTCCAGTTCTATAATAGTTCATAATTTGAGCAAAAACGCCTGGATGTCGATCAAAAAAATATTCATTGAGCACTGGATCATAGTTAGCGGTATTAGTGGTCAGTCTGCTCAATCGGGTTGCAGGTATTTTTTTCAACGTATGCTTATACGTCTCATGGCGAACGCCTCCAACGTTTATAATGACGCGATATTCACTATCCATTACTAAGCCTAAATATCAATTTAGACATTAAATTGTTATTAGACATTACCAGTTTTTTTAGAGTAAAAGAAATTGAAAATTTTATATTGCAAGAAAGACTTAACCGTTTGTATACAGAAAAAATAAAAGTTGCAGAATGTTTCCTAATTTTTTGCAGTCAGAATTAAAGCACAGCAAAAGTTTTGGATTGCTAACTCCATCATCTTGACTTGCTTCTTTTTTGGGCTTTTTAATTGTTAAATAAAAGATTAATTATATGCAAACAATAGTAAATAATTAATGGCTTTTTAAAGTATGACAAGTTTTTGTTCATCACTTTGTTGCGCACTCACATTTATAATACAAATTTTGTATATGGCCTTTTTTTTACAAACCAGAATTCAGTTGCAGTAATAATTTTGCTTTAAAAAAAAAAAAAAAA